GCACACGGTCCTCTTTGCAGAAGTCAACGCAGAATTGAATGTCGGAGGACAGTACTGGAAGCTTGGCAGGCCGGATTGCTGCCAAGCCTTATCTGTGTTTATTGCTGCCTTGAGTTTGTCTGAGTTGCTGCCAAGGTCCTTATCTGTTTGTTTTGCTTGGCTTTCAGCCACTGAGGTTTTGGTGTCTTGTTATTAAAGGACATTCCATTTAAGCTTGTCTCGACATTCGTTACTGGACGGAGGAGGGGGTCAGAACAATATATTATATTTATTTCATGTGTAGGCTCAAATATATGTACTAAATGAGTTCTTAAAGTAAAAATAATGAATAACTTTTTCCTTTCCCTCACCTCCTCACAGCCTTCCCCCTGGCCTTTGTAGTGGCTCCAGCTACCACTGGTCCCCAAGCAAGGCAAACCCTGCATCTCCTGTGCCCACAGTGGACATGAAACCCCTAAGCTGCTGCACCTGCAGAAAGGCATGTGTATCAGAGGTGGGTTGGTCCCGGATCGGGCAAACCGCTAGTAGTGGCGGCGTGAAGCTCCGCCCACCCACCTGGACGCTTCTGTGCATGTGCAAAAGTATCACACGTGCAGGGAAGCATGCCCGAACCAGTAGTAAAAAAATTGGAAACTCACCAGTGAGGTGTACCAGTTGCATAAGGTCTCTTACCATCTACTACTCATCCCTCCTTCTCTCCTTATTCACTCAACTCATGCACACTCTGGAGATTGGAGGGGTTTTGTTGGTTTCTACTTTTTTCAAAAAATAAAAAATAAACCATCTTCTCTCAGTGAATCTCTAGTAACCTCTGATTGAATCCCAGGATTCCATGAAACCTGAGTTGAGAAACCCTGGGCCAGAATCTTTCAAGGAAGCAAAAATTCAATGCTTTTATGCCAAGGGTTGAATGCCCATTGAATCTGTTGGTGTGTAAAAGGAGTATAACAAGCCTCAAACTGCTGCATTTTCTTTTGGGTATGCTTTATTTCTTTTTTTAAAAAATGAATTTACTTTTGAGTTGTTGGTTAGGATTGCTGACAGTCCAAAGAATCTGCCTTGTTTTCAACCCCCAAACATTGAATTCTTAAGGCTCTCAGGAGAATAAACTATAGCTCTACATCTTAGCAGAGTCCACTAACAAGACAGCTCCACACTTCCTTCTCTACAAGGGTCTTCCAATGACAAGGGACTGCCATTGAAATTTAATTAGAAGACAGCACAAAATAAAGAAGTTATCCCTTTTCTTTATTAACAAACTGTTCTGATCATTAACTATCCACATTGATTGGTTTTGGAGTATTGCTATCTACCCATACTAGATCTACATAGTGCTCACCTGTATTAAATAATTTTTAACAATTCAATATATCTTTTCAAAGAGTACAATTATGTACCACCTTAGTGAAGAAAGCTCATCACAAACACATAGAAGTCATTATGAAGATATTAAACAGGAAAAAGTCAAATGTAACTTACCAGGTCCATTTAAGTACTGTGTGAGTGAACAGTGCAAACGCACAATTATAGGCTCTGTGCGGATTACATCCCAGGCCACTGCAATCTCTTCCTGCATGAGGAGCACAACAGGACTTTAGCCATTATCAGGAAATTTACATTGGACATTTTTTTTTAAATTTCACAGCTGGCGAAGGAATTGAAGATGCTCACCTAAGTTCTTTTCTAAACTGATTGACCAAGACAAATGTTGTATCAGCTGCTATCTAATGTACAAAAGGTCAGGAGTAGAACTAAAATGGGACTTGAACAGGAACTAGCTCTATAAGTGGAAAGAAATGCCAAATTTGCATAGTTGTAACAATACACACACACACACACACATACTGTGTGTGTTTGTGTGTGTATATATGTATATGTGTGTGTGTTTGTGTGTG